ATTTGGCTAATTAAAAGACTCTGGATAAGTAATCATGTTGTCGGATTCGTGGATTGCTAATTTGTGGCTTTCCACTGAAAAAGATGTAATAAAATGAACTACATTATTTAATTGATCTAAAACAACTTGCAATCCCTAGACAATTAATCGGACAAAAGAATCGATTTTACGCCACGATTTTTTTTTTTTTTTTGTTTCTTTTCTTTGACACCGACTTTTATTGGCTTTATTATTATTACTATTATTGTTATTATTTAACCTTGGATTCCTAATCCCAACTTGATGTACTACAATATCCTCCTTTTACCTTAGGCTGCTTCCTCATATTTCATGCACGTAAAAATTAGGAATGGTCGAACCATAAATGGGTTTGTACAAACTATGACATGTTTATATTCCTAAGTAAAACTGTATACAAAAGTACAAAAAACTATATAAGTGTTATACGTTGCATTTCAATAAATTCTATAGTCTCATTTAGGTGTAATCTAAATTATATAATGGATAAAAAAAAAAAAAAAAAAAGATTAAGGTTTTTGGCGACATCAACGAATGGTTAAATGACGTCCTTGGAAAATTCTAAACATTGGACAAACAAGAAAAAGAGAGGAAACTAAAGGAAGGAAAGAGGAATTCAAATTTTGGAATCTGGAAAGTGGAAATGGTCGAACTTTTTACACTATATGATTTTGACATGTGATTCCAGGGAATATGATAAAGAAAACGGTTCTGATGTGTTCCAAAATCTTCCAATTTGATCGAATGGAACTTTGATTTTGTTAGTACAGATTAAAGTTGGCTTCATGTTTCACCAACCGTTTTTCAGTCCTTCGGCTTTATTTCCTTTTCTGTACATCTCTAGTTCCAAGGCCAGAATGCTATGCTCTTTCTCAGTAATTCAAGACCTGATCGACATGTTCTTTTCCATCTGTTATTGATCGCTTGGTGGAGAAAAAACTCGAAAATCTTACACCACATGGTTTATTAGTTCTTAGTTCAAGATTAAATTAATTAACGAGTAAATTTTATATACGCTGATAGTATATACACTATCACAAGTTGATAAATGATACATATACAAAATTTGAGTTTCAAATTCAAATTTGGATTATATGTCATGCATTTAATGATAAAATTATATACACTGCCAGTATATAGAAAATTAATCCTTAATTAATTACAAGTAATCGAAATCGATCGAGACACAACGCTACTAATTCTAAAATATATAAGATTTCATTAATCCTCTTTGTGTATACATATTGTTATTTGAGTAAAGTAGTCTCAGTTGTTCAAGGACCCTTAATGCCATAATTAAGCTGCATATTTGATATGGAAGTCTAAGTTAAATGTCCATACATAATGCATTTTTCTGTGACATGAAAATTGTTAAGTACTTACATGGTATACAAAGGTTTGTAACTGAAACATAAAATGTAGCGTGCTTTGTAGTTAAATAATCAAGACACAATCATTAATTTTTTTTTTTTGGAATTATGAAAGGATGGTAAATTGCCAAATTAAAGCCCCATATTATGAAAATTGTGACGTTTCAAAAATTATTCAAGGCATTGATTTAAATGAAAAGAACCTACACATTATACCAAAAAAAGAACCAATTAATCCATGGTTTTGTTGGGGAAAAAAAAATCGTCACATCCATGGTTTTGCACAATTTCTTTTGATCTGCTTCAGTTTCCTCCCTCCTGGAATTTTGAAATTAAATACCTCCGAAACTAGGCTTAAGTTACAAGCTTCTCTTTTACAAAATCTTTCTTTATTTACCTTTAAGGTCATGATAAGGTCATGATATTGCAAATCTAAAAAGGGGTAGGGTAGAAACTAGAAAGTGAGTGGCATCAACATGAGTTGGGGAGAATAAAAAGTAGAAAAGAAAAACAAGGCTAATCTTCCATCACGAGGGAGAATCTTATGCTAGACTTGCAAGTTCTTGAAATCTTAAATTTAAACCTGTGTCAGCTTGGATTAAGTTATACGGCTTTTTTAGAGAAAGTTAATTGGTACTAATAAATAAAGAATCCGATATTACACTTCACAGTCTACTCAAACATGCATCTACAAAATATTATGTTTATCTAGTTGTAGTGCACAAAATAGTTAAATGTTTTGATCGAAGTTTCCAACAGATCCAAATCGTGTCTATTTGCAAATTGAACATCAGCATTTTTCCAAGTATTTTTTTTTTTGTCCAATTTCAGTATAGGCATCTTATTATTCCAGATTCCATCAATTAATTAGTTAAGATAATTAATTAAATTGGAAACCATTCAGAAATTATCGACACAGCTTTCGACTTCAGGGAAAAAAGTTGTAAACTCGTGGGAATGGTTATTAAAAAATAATCACTATGCAAATTTACTATGGAGCTAGGTTACATGGCCATCTTCAATGTGTTTGACAATTTTGTGGGACACCCTTGTATCTACCTCTGAAAGTTATTATTCTCCAAATTTACTCCTAAATTTACTTTTGATTGCACCTCTAATCAGAATTAAACTAATGATTATCACATCATATAGGGGACCAAAAGTGGTAGCCTACTTAAGCCGCTGTAATAGGAGATTAATGTGGATTAGGTGATATTGGTTGATTATCTTGAAAGAGAATCCCGAGAGAGAACACACACACACACACACATATATATATATATATATATATATATATATATATATATATATATATATATATATATATATATATATATATATATATATATATATATCTGAAGTGTTCATAAAAAAATTGGAAAGAGGATATGCCAGTTAAGATTTCCTTTATTTCTCTCTTTGTTGAAACCTTCATTAATTCTAGTGTTTTTCCTTTTCTATTTTTTATTAAGTAGATAAAATTGAACTAACAGTATGTGAATTAGCTGGTTTAGGTTGAAAGTACAAAAAACTTAAATAAAAGCTAAAGTTTGGTAAGATTGAACTAGATTTCATTTAGTCGCTTTGATAGTTAACTTTTCCAAGCAAGAAAAACAATGCTTTGGAAACCCTCTACAACAATACTTGAATTAGGACAATCAAATGCTCCCCTGAAGTTCCTTCCAAACAAACAAAATTTCTTTCCTTCCAAGTTTATTATAGTGGTGAATAATTGGAGGGTCTAATATATATAATTATATATATATCCACAAGCACTATCATGGTTTTTTTTTTTCAATTACAATATGAGAAAATGAAATAGCATACTGAACCTCCAATCTCGTACAAATAAGAACACTATAAATAAGAGTTGGCAATATTACCAAGCCATATGTACTTTAATAGTAGATTTATTGAGGAAATACTTAATTTTTTTTCTTTTTGACTAGCATGGAGATTCGATTGATCTCATCGTTGCCCCCACCCTTTCAACATCTCTCCCTTCTAAAAGGGATATTTTTTAGGGGAAAACAAGAAGAAGAAAAAAAAAGAATATGACACACATTCATCTTAGCTACTAGGAAGAAGAGAAGGAGAGGAAATTAGGTCTGGTGTTGGAGAATAGAGAGTCATTATTTTTGGTACTTTCCCATTGTTGTTTTTCTCGGGCAAAGACTTCGAACCTTGATTTTAGCTGTGTCTGCTGGTTATAACATTTGCGTTTAGCAGTGAATGGTACCATAATTTAATAGTCATTGGTCTTGCAATATCGGCGAAGAATCAGCCTTGTTTAGCTCTTCGAGTTGCTGGATTTTCTTTATTTTTTTCAGATTAGATTTTCACTGAACTGAAAGCCCGCAAGACTTGGGCGACAAACAGGTACAGTGGTCATTTGCTTTTTCCACTGTCTAAGACCGCTTGTCTTGGTTGTCTAGACCTGCTGTGGACCATGATTTGTCCAAATGGCTTTCTTTTATCTTTTGATTTTGTTTTAATATATCTTTTTTGTATTTCTCTCCACTCCAACACAAAAGTTCAAAATAACTGAGGCGGGGACATTTGTATACTGTACCAAAACAAATTTTGGTACATATTGGATGAATGAAACATATCACGGATTAAAAGTTTATAAAGTATACAATACAAAAAATTATGATTTTAGAAATGGGATGCTTGTTATTATGTAAATTGAGTCAATGTCAGTTTACTCTGGAAGACGAAGATGGAATTGGATGGCAAGGAAGGAAAGATGGTAAGTAAGAAATTCTTGATTCAAAATCTTTTACTTATTTTTTTTAAAAAAAAGCTTATTCTAAAGAGTGTTCAGATTTCGTCTCGAATTATTTCCTTTGACAAGCTACTGTTTTTCTCAATAGTGATAGATTGCATTACTTTGCAAAACACTCGTCTGTTTTATGCGGTTTTCCACTTTGCAGAACGAAAATTTGCTTGTTGATTATTCACAGCAATGAAAAAAATGAAAGGCTAGACACACACAATGTCAAGAGTGGGGCAGGCTAGAAATGGTTATCCTGTTTAAGGTTTGACTGAAATTTCAATGAACAAGGATGAGAATTCTAATATATCGCGAAACAATTTTTGTACTCCATTTTACAGTAGTATTTGACCTCAAGATAGTACTACCAAAATTACAATGGAGTGATATCCTTTTGTTTGTGTTTTGTGTTAATAAGTGACTGAATTCTAATATACAACATAAAAAGACCAAGGCGAAGGCTTTCTTACAAGTTCTTGAATGTGTATCTATCATATATATGTACAGAGAAGTTAACTTGTTTTTCATGTTTGTCATGCATTGGCATATTAATTCCACAGCACTTACAATTTTTTTTTGTTTTGCATTTTTAATTGAAAATTACAAGCAAAATAGCTGTAAAAGTTTTTGATACCTAAGTAGTGACCACAGTCCTTGTCCAAGTATAAACCGATGACAAATGGATATGGAAAAGAAAAGCCATTCTTAGTACTTCATGGTCTAAAAAGTGGTTGGCACTACTTTATTTGAATTACCTACTTACTTCTATGTAGTGCTCATTTGGTCATCGAGGTCCTTTATAAACTGATCAAGACTGTTTGGAGAATCGCATAACACTTCAATCCATTTCATCCCCCACAGAAAAGAAACAAAAGAGAAGAAATGGCTGGTCCCTCCTCTCATCCAAAAACTCTCCACCTTCCTCTTCAGACCAGTTCCTCCCTGAAATCAGCTTCATCTTCTGCTCAACTGACTTCCTCCAAGCTCAAAACCATACTCCAATCCTTCATCTTCTCACACTTGTACCGCATTGTTCGTGCCCTCACCAAAGCAAAATCCATTGTCATTCAAGTTCTCAAAGATATTCAGCTGCTTCAGTTCATTCAACTGTCCGTGAAAAAGAACAGCAAGAATCTCAAGAACAAGCTGTTTCTGGGCTCATTTAGGATGCATTATAACTGGTGTTCTTCTCATGTCGTGCCTGCCCCCATGCCTAAGCTTGAAGGCTACTACTCATCCAAAGATTGGTACTATGATTCCTCGTGGAACACTTGCGAAATCCCATCAACAGATTCTTGTGAAGGACTCATTGGAGGTGCTCCAGATTCGTCTTCGCAGCTTGCAGGATATCTCAAATGGCTTGAGGAGAGAAAGGATCGTAACAATCATGATCAGGGCAATGAAATTGACATGCTGGCTGATATGTTCATTGCTAATAGCCATGAGAAGTTCAGGTTGGAGAAACAAGAGTCCTACAGGAGATTCCAAGAGATGATGGATAGAAGCATGTCATGAACTGAATTTATCTAATTGAAGCAGGAATCTGTAACTCTTTCTTCTTCCTTTTTTTTTTTTTGGCCTGTGTCCTTTTGTTTTTTTTTTTTTTTTCACTCCTCAAAAAAAAAAAAAATACTATGGGGCAAGGATACGACGATATATATATAATGGGTTGCCTTTTGGCTGGAGAGACAATAGCCATTAATGAGTGGTAGATGAAGTTAAATCCATGATATATCTGGTTGGAACTTGGAAGTTCACATTTTCAGTAATTTCGCATTCCCTTTTTGCTTTAATCCTTCTGATACCTATTTTCACCTACTGATGATGGGGTCAAGGACTCTGGGATCCGTGCAATTCTTCTTTTAATTCATATGTCGTACTTTCGGTTAATTTGAAACATTTTACCAGCGAAAGTGAAGAACTTATCTTTAATTTATCCAAAAGAAAGAGCAAAAAAAATTGTTAAAGAAGAAACCAGCTTTTGCAGGCCGTCTAAAGGTCTTAATTATAATAACTTTGTGGACTGTATACATGTAGCCGGAAACTTTGTGGACTGTATACATGTGACTTTCTCACTTTTCTTGATATATATTCCATTTCCTACACACAATTGGGGAATATTGCATGATTTACCTACGACTATGATGTATTGATTGGTGCATATATATCAAACTATATCGTGTAAGCTGCAACAGATTAAATACATAGTGCCAAAGTTTTTTTCCCTTTTTTCTTTTCCTCTTTTTTTGCCTGACATTTGTTTGTTCAATTCTGTCGTGTTTTAACAATGACTTGCATTCCAAAAAAAAAAAAACTTGCATTCAAGGCCAACCTGCAGGTATATAGAATTAACATACCTTTTCATTTCTTCCGTTTGGTCCCTGGTTGTAATGGGATCTGGTTTCTAATGCTGTGACGGATTGGTTGGATCATGCTCTTATTGTGAGGCCATTGTTCTACTATTCCATACTACGTTCTCCACCAATGTTGTTTCTTAGTGTTTTCTTTCATGGATTTTTTTTGAAAAAAAGAAAGTTGCAATCACTTCCAAACTGGCTTGTAAACTCAGCAAAATTGAAATAGAGAGCCATCACTTCAGCCAGGAGAACATTCATGTCATCAAACTCCTTTTTCAAAATGCCATGATCAACTTCCCTGAATGGTCGTGCAAAATTGTGAGTATCTTTACTAACAAAGAAGGACAATAGCATCCCAAAAAAAAAAAATCATTAATTTTCTCGTAATTCAATCTCCTTGTCTCTAAGATTTCCATCTTTGATTTGATACACTTTCATAAAATTTTTAAAATCTTAAAACCATAATAAGATAACGACTTAGAGAGGATATCTACATACTTCAAAATTACAGCCCCTGAAATGTTACTAAAATAAAGACAAAAATAGAGAATTATGTGAGAATGAGCCATTTCCGGAATCCCGGGTGCACATAACAAAGTAGAGTATAAAATTGCAATTTGGTTCGCTAGTTTCAACTTGATCATTAGTATATGACGATTAATTAATAGTCGTACGAGTATTACGTCTTGAATATTTTATGTAATTCGTGATTCCTTACCTTTAGGCTTCAATTAATCACCAACTCGCTATCATTATTATGGTACGTGTATACGGAAGGACAGGTAAGGACCGGGTCATTTCATCTCTCTTTCTTTCTTTCTGATCAGCTGATGTTGGGAGATCTACATATCTTTCTGGGACCAATTTACGGCGCTAATTTACAATTCTCTACACTTTGCTGAACGAGTTTGGTGTTAAAAAAAAAAAAATCTGTAATTATTTATTATTTCGATTGTACTCTTGCATGATTGAGTACTATATAGGAGGGAGGGAGTGTAAGCGAGAGATTTTGGGTTCGAGTCCTCCAACTTATACTTAAATATATATATATATATATATATATATATATATATATATATATAATCATCTCATATTCCACACTCTCACGTCCTCCGTACTTCTTCAACGTTTACATAACTACTGCTATAATACTTATCTACTATAACTGCTACTACACTTATCTACTATTGCTATACTTATTCCACGTCTTCCTACCAGCTTCAATAAAGAGATAGAAAATTCTACTACTCTGTAATTAATTTATTTGCTACAACTAATTTGTTATTCTATATTTGTTATTTTATTTTACCCTAAAATATGCACACACATAGAGTGTGTTTTACCCACTAGTTCGTTTTAAAAGGGCACTAAAGGCATCATAAAATTCATAATACATTGTTTTTTTTTTCCCTTAAGAAAGAGAAGCGTTATAATCAGTTGGTTATTCATTTCGTATCAATTAGTAACAATTTTGAGCCAGCCTATTAGCTACCACGACGTCAAAGATTTACATCTGATCTGGTTCAAGAACTAAATTCAACCAAATCAAGTCATTTGGTCATAAAAAGTTATTGTTTGTAGTGATATGACAAAATACCCCAAAAACAAAAAAATAAATGTAGGCGTGAACTATGAGCAAACTAAAACGACAAGCTAGTAAGCAAGAAGAATTTTTTTTTTTTTTTTAAAAAAAAGAAGTAAAAGAAAAGAAATGTCGTAGAAAATACACAAAATTTTTTCGTGAGTTTGCCTATTACAGTATGAATTGATTTATCTCCATTGATGTATAACAAAAAAAACTGGGAGGAGATTTGACTGTTTCAATGTGGGCTAGTATAGCTTTTATCTATCTGATCATTACTGATTTCTGGTCTTATATTTTGATGTGATTGTACTACTGGTTATTCCCTTACCCCCCCCCCCCCCTCCAAAATTTGTGTACTCTTCTTCTGTTAAGTGTTAACCAATATCAAAAATAAGCTTCACCAAAGAAAATTTTTTTAAAGATTTTTATAAACTAATTGTTTCATCAAATATATAAATGATGATATCACGAAAACATGGTAAATCTAATTTTCCACAATCGGTGTTTGGAGAGTAACTAAACACAGACAGAAAACGCCATACTACAGTTAACATAAAGCAATCAAGAATTGAACACAAAAAAGAGGTAAATGCATCAAAATGACGTTCAATATATACTTTGCTGGAAAGTATGATTTTGCTTACATAATCCTCTAGGCATATCTGATTACTATCAGACAAAATAAGAACTCTATGTAAAACTAGTGATCCTATCAGTGGAAAAATTCATAAACTACAGCTGATTAAACCTTCGAAAAACTTTAAATTAGGCCTAAAAAAGTTTGGCATGTACCCAAAAACAAAGTGCGAACTTGTCAACAAAATCCCAATCATGGGGTGTCATGATATCCTATTTGGTCACGTACGAAGCAACAAAATAGCTTACATCAGTCAAAGAAAACAAAAAAAAAAATTTTTTTTTTACATCAGTCAAAGAAATGCTTTTGAGTCATGATTATCTTCTTGATACAATATTATCCAACCATTAAAGGGGTTGCATCGGTGGTGAGAATGCTTTTTTATGCTTTTATATCTACTGTTTCTCTTTATTCCAAAAGTTCTTTCTTGCTTTTACATGGAAGAGAGAGCAAAAGAGTGCCTTATCAGGAGCGCACGATTTGGTTCCTTTGGTCTCCTTGTCTTAGATTTCTTGAACTGCATTTACAGAGACGCAAGTGGAACTCCCTTTGGATTTTTTTTTTTCTGTCAAGATTATTGTTTTACATAAACTTCCCTTTGGATTATTGTTTTTTCCTATTTGTTTCTTGTTTCCACACATACACAAATTTTCTAGGGCACTATTCTTCAACTTTCTTCCTTGTTGTAAAGCCAAAGTCCAGGAAAAATCTCTTGATGATCACATTTAAGTGTGAGGGGAGGTGGGTAAATTGGCCAACAAGACAAATTGGACTTCTTCAAAAATCTTGCTGAGAAACCATTTGTCTTGAATTTGTTCGGCCAACTCTCCAGTCATTGGAGCATATTATTTTCAACATATGATTAGTCCAGATATTTGCCATGCGGGCTTTGGCCCAATATTCGCATGCGCCGATGCTTTTTTAACAAATGGAATATGTCAGCCGGACCTGCACTACATGTTAACCATGTCTGGTTTAAGCGGGCCAAGATTTCGGCTCCATATTAAGGATTTTTGGTGGAAAGCGTTGAAAGCTCAATGTCTTGAGCAATTAATCATGGTTTTTTTTAATTAAAAAAAAACCATCAAGGGAGAGCTTAGACAATATCTTTACTTTTTTTTGTGTGTGTTTTTAAGCAATAACATGATTTGGAAGTTGTAGCATTTATTCAGTAAACTTTCACGAACAATAACCATTAGGAGTTCCACTGAAAAATAAATAAATAAATAAATAAAATTTAACCAACTGCTCCTAGGCATCCACTAAGAGAACTTTAAGGCGTAGGTCAAGAGATTAAAAAAAATTAGATTTTTCTCACAAAGTTTGCCAGCGGGTGCGTAGACACCCATCTAGGTCGGTGATAAAAACTCTATACCAGTTCTTTTGTTTTCAATGAATTTTTGGTTGACTTTTGTAAATCGATGCAGAAGATTATCAAGATGATTTGTAAGCTCTCTAAAATGTAAAACATATAGTTCTACAATGATCGAATGACTGTTGCACAAGACCAAAGTAAGACTTCCATTGAATTTTACTTTCTTTCTTTTTTGTGCCAAAAAAGAAGTGAGGAAGAATCTATTTAATCAACTTTCTAGGAATCCTACTAAGTAGATTTTACCAGCACTTAATTGTTTACATATTTCATATCTCATAGAGAATAAACAAATTGCTTATTTTCCTACTTCCAAAAAAATTTTTTTTTTTTTTTGCGTATTATGTATGAATAACCTTTTGGCTTGTAAAGGCAATACTATTGCACCTAAAAGGTGAGATAGATCCACTCAGATACACTACTGCTTTTGAAATTATCTACTTGTCTTGACTGATTCTATTAGCTCTCTCTCACCATCTCACATGTCGCAGTTGGGCTTCCATTAATTAATACTACTCAAAACGGCGCCCCTAATTCTTAAAAGCAGCATAAATGTCTGCATTAAAGACCACTTTCGTTTCAATCAGATGTGAACCAACTGCCAACATGGACTAATTTGCAACCTCCTTTTAGTTGTTGAAAAGTTATGGCATACACAATTTGTTTTTCTGGACAACCGCATATTGCTAGAAGTTACTAGTTGTTTCTCAAAAATGGAAGAATTTCAGCCCAAT